GCATACATTATAAATATCATGCAAGTGTGATTTATTTATTTATTTATTTATTTTTTTTTTGGGCTATACGTGAAAAAAGAAAAGAACAAAAAAAAAAAAAGAAAAAAGAAAACAATGTTAGCAAAGGGTATATAGTTTGAGAGAGGGAGGGAGGGGGAGTGTAGCAAAATTAAAGATGAAAGAACATAGAGAAAAAGATGAAATTAAAGAAGATATGTGTTCTTGAGGGTAATGGCCGGGTGGCCTCTAACAGGGCATACCTTCTTTTTTTTTTAGTCAGTAGGGGAAATTAAAATTTAATTTTATTTTATGATCACAATTGAATTGGAATAATAGCAGCGTCCCTAACTTGCTACTTGGAAAAAAAAATCCATTAGAAATGTGAAATCTCATTTTAGAATCCATAACTCTGTCTAACATGCATTTTTAGCCCATATAAATTTAAATTTTAACAGAATGAGAGGTGGAAATTTCATCTAATAATTCCAATTTTACACATTACCAGTCATTATGGTGAGTACCTTGTGGAATTACAACATTTATTATATGAATCAACGTTACGAATAAATTATTTCTAATAGTCCGTACAACCTCACTTCACCAGAAGAGATGATGGATCGAGTAAGGTAGGATATTTAGAAGCTATGCATTAATCTAGAAGACTATTGCTAGATTAGGGAGGTGAATTTTAATTTTACTTTCGGCTTCTCAAGTCTATAATTCTTCTAGGTACGTTAAATCGTAAACAACAATAGAGGAAAGATGTGAAGCAGAATTGTCTATCAATAATGATGTCACTAGTACAAAAAAAGGCTTTTTGAGTCACCTATAAAAGACTTTTCGAGTCACCTTGTTAGTAATATTACTGTATTATTATTAGTCTGTATTATTGTATCTTATAATAATGTTGTAAATAGTTTAGTATTCTATGGCTATCCTATTATGTAGGAATACTTTACGTAGAAGTGTTTAGCTTTAGTATTGTAATCTCGATCCTTTTGCAACTGAATACTGAATTCACTATCTCATCTGGTATCAGATAGCCTAGGTTAGTTTTCTCTCTCCTAAAATTTTCCATACACCACCGCCGATCACCCTAAACGCCGGCTGCCACCACCCGCTCCTCCGACATGTCCACTAATTCCTCATAACGGATAGTCACTGCCGCCACCGGTGCTCCGCCAGCCACCACCCTGAATCCTCTCGCTACCGCGCACCATTTCGTCTCCATAAAGTTGACAACACGCAACTTCCTCTTCTAGAGGACTCAGCTGGTGCCCTTCCTCCGTGGCCAAGAGCTTCTAGGCTACGTTGATGGCGACACGCCATGCCCACCACCAACCATCGACGCCACGCAAACCTCCGATGAGTCTGCCTCCGCCACCACCACGTCGGCCCCGATTTTAAACCCGACGTACAAGGCTTGGATTAAGCAAGACCACTCCATACTGTCCTTGCTCATCTCTTCACTCTCTGAAGAAGTGATGTACTTGGTAGTCGGTAGGTCTATGTCCAAGGACGTTTGCCAATCAATCACATTGGCTCTCGGTAGCTCCACTCGTGACTGGTGCCTGAGTCTTCTCGTGCAGTTCCACTCGCTCACTACAACAAACTGACTATTTAGCGACATATATTTAGTGGCGGTTATACATAACCGCCTCTAAATGACTATTTTGAGGCGGTTTAGAAACCGCCGCTAATTTAATATAAGAAACCTAAATAACTAATTGGTAGCAAAAATAGAAATCTAAATAATTAATTGTTAGTGTCATTTACTTGCGGCGGTTCATCATAACCGTCGCTAAAATATTTTTAAAAAAAGTAATTTCTAATTTCTAATATAGATATATATTATTTACGGAGGATATTGGGTTTTCAACGTTGAGTGAAGAGCAGCTGCGAGGAAGAAGAACAACAAACGAACACTAATTTAGCAGAAGCAAAGGGAGGAAAAATTCCAGTCCACTCGCCAGAGACCCTCCGTCTGCTCCGACCTGTCGGCATCTCCTTTGTTTAATTTGCTCCACGGCGTCATTGTAAGGTTTGTGACTCCTGTGAATTTCTCACTGATTTTGTTCTCAAACAGTGTGTGTGAGAATTTATGAATTTAGTTTTTATCTTTTGAGGATTATTTTAAATTTCTTTTTGAATGTTTTTTGCAATTTGATTGATTCTCTCTATTGGAACTTGAATTCTTATGCTAATTTAGGATTGTTAACAGATTAGTTTTTTTGTAGCAATTGCATTCAAGGTGTTTGTCATATTGTCTACAGGGTGTTGTTCCTCACATTTTCCAAGAGCTTTGAAAGTACTTGATAAAGAAAATTTTCATTTGTATTTGTTGCAGGAACTGCAATTTTAATTTAGAGTTGGCATTTGGCATGAATTGTACAATTCTACAAAAACAGCTTAAGCCAATCATATTGGCATGTATTTTTATATATTTTTTGTAGGAATTGTAGTAAATCAAATTTCTATGAATTCCTATCCTTTTGCGTGAAATTTCAGTGAGCTGCCGATTTGTTTTTGAATTTTGAGTGTCAATCTCGCTAATTTGGTTGGAATTGTGTTTTTTCTTCTATATAATCTGTATGCTTAAATTAAATTATTCTCCTATGAATTGGTGCTGTGTGGTTTGAAAGTCATAGTCATACTGACTGATGATACCATTTCAGAGAAGTCAGGAGAAAAGCATAAAAGTAAAAGCCACAAGCATAAGGATTCCTCGGTGAGTTCTCTTTCTATTCCTATCTTTACAAAAGTTCAGCATTAAACATGTTTTCAGTTGAAATTAGCCGAAAATAAACTCCCTACTTGCCTTGCATTTTCTGTTTATCATACTAATTTGGTAGACCATAAACATATGAGCCATTCTATTGGATAAAAATGTTAGACCCATCCCCTGCTTTCAGTTTGATTGAAAATGAAATTTTGATAGGGTAATACTAGAGACTACTCTCTACTCGGTTAGAGTCATATTTAATTTAATTTGTAGAGTTTGATTCTTACTTAAAATGACCTGACTCTGAACTATTTAATATGTTGTTCGAATACAAAAGTCATTTTCTAACATTACAGTTACTTTAATATTTTGCTTATCAAGTGTTATACATGGGGTGTAAAAATAATAATAATAATTTGCTTTGTTTCTTGGTGATTGTTTTCTTAGATTGCTTTAGAAGGAAACTTCTTATATCAAGAATTATGTCTATTCTGTTTTACACATAGCTAACGCGTTGATTTTTGTGGTACGTGTGCTTTTGCAGTTAATACTCTTTGCATCTTATTCTAGCAAGGATTAAAAAACGCCTCGAGTGCAGGTATCATTGTGATTTAAACAAGACTTATAGTTGTTAATCTTACTGTTGAATTATTCCTTCTTTGGGGTTATTAATGTTTTTTACTGCCTATAGACTTGGAATACAAAAGCTATCCAAGATTACATCTTTATTGCCACTTCTCAAGTTATCTTCTTATCTCTTTCATTTTTAGTTATCTGTGTTTGTTCTACAGACTAAGGTTATATGGTAAGATTATCTGTTCTTTTATTACTGTTGAATTCTGTCTTAACAAGGATATATGCTAAGGTGAACTAATTCCTCAAATTCTCAATTCTAGTGTGTCTAAGTTTTAAATGAGGTTTGGAACTTTTTTTTGGTTCTTTTTATGTTTTGGCCCCTTTGTGTATTTTATAATTTTTGTGTATTCATGTAGGTGGCACGTAATGTGTTTGAAGCAGGGTTGAAAAACTTTATGCATGAACCTGAATACATTCTTGAGTGAGTTTCCTTCCCTTTTTGGCATCAAAATTCTATATATATATATATATATATATATATAAGCATGAATCTGTTGCCTTGTTCAAGTTAGTAGTCCATTTTTCAGCAATTGTTCCTTTTAATTATTTGTGATTCTTTGAAGTAAATTCTCTCTGCATGTTCTTTATTTAGTGGCAGTTATACTAACCGCAGCTATTTTAACAACAAAACTTAAATCATAAGATAAAATGCTAGTAACCATTTTATCGGCTGTTTTCATTAACCATCTTAAATCATAAGTTAATTTATTTTTTGGGTTATTTCCATCTTTTCACCCACATCTCAATGTTGGAACAACACAACACAACATATAAAGCAATTCACATTAGAAAGCAGGATGCATTCCTAAAATTAATCTCTCGATATATCCTCCGCTTTCTCTCTCTATATGCATATATGTGGTCTCATCATTCTATACATATGACAATTCATCTTTCTTTCTCTTTGTAGATCTTGTATGCTAAACTACTAAAGTTTGAAAAATCTTCATATAGAGATTATGCATGGATAAATCTTGGGTTAATTTGCAGCGAAATACTTTGGAATATATAGAAGGGGTAAACAAATTAATTGATTTTGCTATTGAGCATAGATGTATTGAAGGAAGAATATTGTGTCCTTGTGTAAAGTGTAAATTTAGGTATTGGTTATATAAATTTGACGTGAAAGAACATTTAATTTGTGATGGGATTGTACCTGGATATGTTAATTGGATTTGGCATGGTGAAGGGGGATCTTTAGACACTTTTAGTAGCACTCCTAATGTTGTGCCTACTAATGTGCAAATTGAGAATCCTGAAGTAAATATCATTCATGATGCTTTTGCACATATTTCACATGGTATAAATGAACCTTCAACATCACAACAAACACTACTTGGGGATGGAGTATTACCTAGAGAGGATAGTGAAGACAGTAAAATATTTTATGAGTTGCTCAAAGATGGAAATCAAGAGTTGTATGAAGGGTGTAGCAAGTACTCAAAATTATCATTTTTGTTGAAGTTGTACCACATCAAGTGCTTGGGTGGAATAAGCAATAAAGCAATGTCTATGATTTTTGAATTGTTAAAAGATGCTTTTGAACAAGCAAGGCTTCCTGATTCTTTCTATGAGGCAAAAAAAAACCATCAATAGACTTAGTCTTAATTATGTTAGCATTCATGCATGTCCAAATGATTGCATGCTATACTGGGGAGATGATAAAGATGCAGAAACATGCAAAGTATGTCATACTTCAAGATGGAAACAACCAAACGGGAAGAATGGTGGTGATGTGCGTTGTGGTAGCAAGTTTAAAAAGAAACCTTCTAAAGTGTTGCGTTACTTCCCTCTTAAGCCTAGGTTGCAACGGTTGTTTATGTCTTCTAAAACTGCTGAGAATATGAGATGGCATGCTATGGATAGTAACAGAGATGGGTTGATGCGACATCCTAGAGACTCTGAATCATGGAAGCGATTTAATGAAGTCCATGTAGAATTTGCTGCTGACCCACGAAATGTTAGACTTGGGTTAGCTGCGGATGGTTTCAATCCATTTGGACATCAAAGTTCTACTCATAGCACTTGGCCTGTGATTTTAATTCCTTATAATTTGCCTCCATGGATATGTATGAAACAAACCTCATTTATTTTGTCTATGATTATTCCTGGGAAAAAGATGCCAGGGAATGATATAGATATTTACATGCAATCATTGATTAAAGAGTTAAATGAGTTGTGGAGTTTTGGAATAGAAACATTTGATGCTTCACAGGGTCAGTTTTTTAAACTACATGCAGCTCTAATGTAGACCATTAGTGATTTTCCTGGGCTAGGTAACTTATCTGGGTGGAATACACATACAGGGCTAGCATGCCCCTCATGCAACTTTGATTTTTTGCCAAATCGCCTTCCACATAGTAGGAAGTGGTGTTTTATGGGTCATCGTCGGTTCTTAGGGTCTTCTCATCGGTATAGACATCACAACTCTAAATTTGATGGAACCAAAGATTTGAGAAGTCCGCCAAAGATGTTGTCAGGTTCAGATGTTTTGAATCAGCTTGCAGATATCAATATTACATTTGGGAAAAACCTAGAAATGACTGAGAAGGGGAAAAGATCACGAGTGAGAAGAGTTGAAGATGGTGATACGCAACAATGGAAGAAGAGAAGTATATTTTTCCAACTCCCTTATTGGGAATTCAATTTGTTGCGCCACAACCTTGATGTCATGCATATTGAAAAAAATGTTTTTGACAATGTGTTGTTTACTTTGCTAAATGACTCTGCAAGATCAAAAGATAATCTAAATGCTCGAATGGATTTAGTGTCAATGGGTATAAGAGATGACCTTTGGCCTAATGAAAATGGAAAATACTCTCCAAGTTGTTTTACAATGACAAATATAGAAAAAGATGTATTTCTTGCAACACTAAAGAGTGTATTACTGCCAGATGGTTACTCAAGTAATATTTCAAGATGTGTTGATTTGAAGAATCGCAAGATACATGGATTGAAAAGTCATGATTGTCACATTCTTATGGAACATCTATTGCCAATTGCCATACGTAATCTATTACCAGATCAAGTTTGTATGGTTTTGGTAGAATTGGGTTCTTTTTTCAGACAAATATGTAGTAGAGTATTAAATGTCAAAGAGCTTGATAACCTTCAAAGTCGACTTGTGCTAACATTATGCCATATGGAAATGATATTTCCACCATCATTTTTCACAGTAATGGTGCATTTAGTTGTTCATCTTGTTGATGAGGTTAAGCTTGGAGGTCCTGTTCCATACCGATGGATGTACAGCATTGAGAGGTGACTAAATTTTGGATATTTAAAGTTTTCTTTATTAGATTATCGATAAATGCATCTACTAATGTCTTATTTCTATATATTTAGGCACTTAGGACATTTAAAGTCTTTTGTACGCAACCGAGCAAACCCAGAAGGTTCAATAGCTGAAGGTTATATTGCTGAAGAATGTCTTACATTTTGCTCAAGGTATTTAGAAGGGGTTGAAACAAGGTTTAACCGATCTAGGCGTGTTGATGATGTGCCATTTTATGCTGAAAATATTCAAAGCAATATCTTCAAACAAATTGGTCGACCAGTAGGCAGTGTTTTAACTTTCCAACTAACTGATATAGAGAAACAACAAGCACATCGATATGTGCTAATGAATTGCAAACATGTTGACAAATACGTTGAGTAAGTAACATCCAAACTTTTGTATTTTGGTGAGAAATAACATATTATTTCAATTGTTACAAATGTGTTGTTATCACATACAGGGAATTTACAGTTTTAACGAAGAGACGACTAAGAAGGCGGACGAGATCTTCTGCGGAGATTCAAAAAATAGTTAATAGAGATTTTTCCAATTGGTTTGCAAAGAGAGTAAGAATTTCACCTCAAATCAATATTTTACTTCAAAATTAATTTACTAATACAATATCATTATGTTTTAGATCCTAAATAATGACAATCAAGAGCAAGTGCCAGATGACATTATGTTTTTAGCAAGAGGTCCACTTACTCATGCTAGAAGATTTTCTTCGTATAACATTAATGGTTTAAGATTTCGAACAGTGAACCGAGAAGAAGGACTGAAGTCTCAAAATAGTGGAGTATTTGTTATTGCTGGAACTCCAAGTGTTGCAAGTAGTCGTGATACTCATGGGGTTTTTGGAGATGTTGCTTATTATGGAAAATTGGTTGACATCATTGAACTGAATTACTACAGCAAATTTGTGGTTACACTATTTAAGTGTATATGGGCTGATACGACTACTCCAAGAGGGACAAGAATAGATCATTATGGCTTCACCGAAGTTAACTTCTCTAGAACAATACATGTTGGAGATAGTATAGATGATGAACCATATGTGTTAGCTGAACAAGCTCAGATGGTGTTTTATGTCACTAATGAGTTGGAGAAAGATTGGAATGTTGCAATACCTTTCAAACCAAGAGACTTTTTTGACATGGGTGAAAATGCAGACAGTAGCGTATATGATTGTACTTCAATCTCACGTGAAAACCAAAATCCTGTGGTTTTAAATGAGATTGAAAATTTTCAGTTAACAAGAGAAGAACTAAATGATGAAATAACCACTGTTGTTGATAGCGGAATTGAAAGAGCAGATAATGATTAAATTGTACAGGTCAACATGCTTACTCTCCTAGAGCTTTACTCTTTTTCTTCTTATTTTTTGTTCATTTCTGTTTTATTCTTTGAGATCACTAACCCTTCAACTGAACTCAAACGGAAATTTGTTTTTTATTTGATGTGTAGGTATGCTAGAGTAGAAGAACTCACTCGATTATGCAAATAATCTGCTTTCTGGAAATAGAAAGTCTAAGGATGTTATGGCATTACAAATCTCTCGCGCAATGACATATTTACATGAAAATGGCATCATTCATCGCGACTTGAAGCCCAGTAAGTAATTTTCTGCGGGCCTAACTTTTGCTGCTAGCTATTTTGCTTATTAGTCATCAAGCTAATTAATCTTATTGGATTGCAGATAATATTTTTCTATCAGAAAGCAAGAAGAGTGTGAAGCTTGGGGACTTTGGGAGCCCAAGGAGGGTCTGGAAGGTGATTTTTCTGCTGATGTTGGAAGCTTTCCCTGGATGGCTCCTGAGGTAGTATTGCAACTTTAATTTATTAACCAACCATCCATATTAAGATGTATGTATGTGTCTGCTTGCATCATATATATATATATATATATATATATATATATATATATATATATATATATATATATATATATATATGTCTTCCAACTGTTTCTGAGTAATTTTCCCTTCTCAAGTTTGTTTATTCCGTGATTGATGATAAATAGTGTCATGTATTGGAAGTACATGCATTTATAAATAAGTTGAGAGGTTTGCTTTGTTAGAGGTGTAGCTTTAAGCATTTGGAGGTCTGTAGGCCAGTTGATACACTTCTTGCGATTTACTTCCTCTTTGCTAAGATAGCATACCCAGGAAATTGATTCAATCTTGCTGTTTAAAAAAAAAAAAAATCTTGCTGTTAAGTTTTCACCATTGTTATATCATTGGTTTTGTGTTTGGGTAGTGTAGGATCAAGGTGTAATAAGAATTTCAAACCCATTGATAAATGAAGATAATGTAATGTATTCTGCAGATTTTAGCAAAGAAAGGAGTTGTGATTCTACCAGACATCTATGCAAACTCAGGTGGATTTACTGTCAGCTATTTTGAGTGGGTTCAGGTGATTACCTCTGTTGCTTTCACCAGCAAACTTCTTACACAACTTACTAATGGATTAAAGATCCTAAATTATTGAATATGTTTAATCTTCCTTGTAGAACATACATTCAAGGGTTTATGTGGGATGAGGAGAAAGTGAATGCAGAACTTCATAAATATGACCAAGGGTTTATGTGGGATGAGGAGAAAGTGAATGCAGAACTTCATAAATATGACCAGAGGTTTTAAAGATGTCAAGGACTGAGATTGTAGATTATGTTGGTCTATCCACCAAAGGCTGCCTGTATCTGCATTTGAAGAATAATGTTTTGAACTGTCAGGGAATGAAAATGTATTACAGTTAAAGACCATGGAAGAAATATCTAAGCTGAGAAGCTACTTCTTTTAATACTATTGAATATTATTATTTGATAAATATTAGTTACAATTGATTTTTTTCAATTAAATGGGTACATAGATTTTATTTGTGATTGCAATACGCATTTGAATATAAAGATTTTGAAGAAATATAATTAAATGATAGTTATAAAAATATAATAATGTAATTATAAAACATTTAGCGACACTTAATTATGAAAACAAAAAATTATTTAGTGACACTTAATAACCGCCTCTAATATTTTAAAAAATAAATCAAGACAAATATTTAGCAACACTTACTAACCGCCACTAAAATTTATTCAAATAAATATATATATTTAGTGGCGGTTACACAACCGCCGCTAAATTTATTCAAATAAATATATATATTTAGCGGCGGTTTTGTAACCGTCGCTAAATTTATTGAAATAAATGTATATATTTAGCGGCGGTTACAAAACCGCCGCTAAATTTATTCAAATAAATATATATATATATATTTAGCGGCGGTTACAAGACCGCCGCTAAATGCACCCAAAACCGCCGCTAAATGAGTTTTTCATTAATTCCCGCGGTTGTTGAAAACCGCCGCTAAATGCTTCGCGACACACTATTTAGACACGGTTGAATAACCGCCGCTAAACACACTAGTGGCGGTTTGGAACCGCCGCTAAACGCAAAAAAAACCGCCGCTAAATGCCTGATTTGGTGTAGTGGCTCCGGCAGGGCGACAGCAGCGCGACAGAGTATCTAGGCCGTGCCCAGTTCTTGGTTGATGATCTTGCATTGATCGGCCAGCCGATCTCACTGGACGAACAGAATCTGTTCGTTTTCAGGGGCCTTCGTCCAGAATGTCAGTCCCGTTACTCTCTGTTCAGCGATTTGCTAATGACAATAATTTTTTTTTTTTTTTGAATTTCACAAAATTGTTTTATTGTGAAGGATTCAATCACCTGGGCAGTGCTGCTTTAAGGACCCACCTCGGGTGGCCTGTATAGACTCCCGGTGTCTTAGTTCCCGCGCAACTCCCGTGGTGTGGCACCGTAGGCTGGGCCATCCACATGCACACGTCCAAAATCAAATTTTAAAGACTTGTCCGGTTACTCCAAATAAAGCCAAATCGGTGGGGTCGTGCACATCTTGTCACCTCAGCAAAACCTCAAGATTTCCATTAGATAGGGTTTCATTTTCAAGCAAAAATGTGTTGGATCTATTGTATACCTACATTTGGGGCCCCGCCCTTGTAATATCTTCTAGTGGTTTTAGATATTTTCTGTTATTTGTAGATGATTATTCCCGCTTTTGTTGGTTTTATCCCTTACGGCTAAAATCAGACATATATTAAACTTTTGAGTCGTTCCGTGTCATGGTAGAACGATAATTTTCGCGTTCTATCAAGTCCATCCAATCAGATTTAGGCAGAGAATATCGCAAGCTACATAACATATTTAACGTGCTTGGTATTAATCATTGCCAGTCATGTGCTTACACGCACGAACAAAATGGTAGGGTAGAACGCAAAAATAGACATATAGTTGAAACTGGGTTGGTCTTACTAGCCGAAGGCTCAGTGTGACACCCCGAAATCCAAATTCAATTAAGGGATTAATTGAGTAATTAATCCTATTTCAATTTGTAATTTAATTCCTTAAATTCCTGAAATTTAATAGTTGGGGACTAGTAATTGACTAGTCAACCCCAAAGTCAAAGTTGTACATTGAGCTTTGTAAGGAGTTCCCTTGTTCCTTACACTTCCTTATGTTAGTAAGGGTATTCTTGACCTTTCACGTGTTGTTGGTATTGTAACCTAACCTAGTAGACCACCTTCATTCTCTCCTTACACTTTTCTAAAAATCTAGCTCCACCTTCTCTCTAAAAAGGTGAGTAGCTTTTCTTCCAAGCCAAGTTGAAGCTTTGCCAAAACATCAAGAGTTGCTTCCAAGATTCAACTTTTCATATATTTGGGCATCTAGGAGGGTAAGATTTAAGTTCATCTTGTGTTTTTGGTTTTATCTAAGGTGTCTTTTCTTAAAGATAGGATCTTTATGATCTTTTGGTATGTTCTTGAAGTGGGTTTGGAAGGTGAGCCTTGAGAGGAGCTTGTTGAGGTGTAAAGTGAACTCTTTAGTCTACAAGAGGTAACCCATGCTTTACAAAATCTATTTTGCTTACCTATATGTGATTTCTTGGATTCTACATGTGTTTTGCTATGAAATGTGAGTGTTATGCATTGTCTTGTGAAAATGCATATCTAGAGCTTGTGTTTAGGGTTCTTGTATGCCATTGCATGGCTATTCCTTTGATTCAAGTCATTTTGTTGTATTTTGTGAGATTTCGCATGTTTTGGACTTGAATTTGAGCTTGGTATTGAAAATCCCCGAAGGGATTATTTTTGTACAGGTATATGTACTCGCGGGCGGAACGACTGGTAGAGCTCCAACCCGCCACCCACCCGCGGGGAACATAAGCCGGTGGGTAGTGTACCCCCGGGCGGAACCACGGGTGGGAGCCTACCCGTGGGTCCACCCGCGGGGAACACTGTGGTGTTTGATTGGGGTTTGTTCCCCGTGATTCTTTGACCCGGTATTTGGTCTTTGGACTTCCCGATGTTCTTTTGTGTAACTATTTGAGTGTCTTCTTGATGTTTCGTATGTCTAGAACTATATATGGTAGGAATCCATGTAGGTTTTGGTGTCTTGAATCGTGCTAAGTGTTCAACATTGTGTTTCGTTGAACCGTGATGAGTCTTGTGTGTTCTTCGGAACTACCTTTGGTTTACCCGTTTGATGAGCATGCTAGTTCGGTGTTTAAATGCTAGCGTGTGTGTTATTTGTACCTTCCTATTGGTTGATGATAACTTGTGTTATTCATCGTTGTTGGTGTTGGGATGTGACCCATTCCTTGATTGAGTATGGTTTCATATCTTCGTTGTGATCCGTTGATTGATTCTTGTTGAGGTGTGATGTGTGCGTGGCTTTACCTGGGTTGCACCATTAGTGGTATGGGACACTAGTCACCAAGGTATTGCAGCGGTCCTCGTGGTGGCCGTGACGTGATTATAGAGTTTGTGACCTTTGTGTAAGGTTCACGTGATTCTTGGGTGGCATGTGTTGCCGTGTGTGTGTACGGTACCCTCGCGTACTATGAAATTGGTGGTCTCGTTGCTGGTTGTTGGTGGGGGACGACGGTCCCAGGAGGGAAAAGGTTGGACTAAGAAGTACATGGGTCCTGGAGGTAATGGTTGGAAGAAGATACAAGGTTGGGGGTATCCATAAGGTTGGAACCGGGCATAAGGAAGGCATATCAACTTGTGATAGGTGATGTCACGAGGGCTTGTGTAGCCGTTGTTGTGAGTTCTCTTCTTGTGACGTGTGTAGTCACAAGGGCATGTGTTGCCTAGGCATGTGTTGCCATTGGTCTTGTCTTTATCCTTTGTGTTGTGGTTATCCTTTGTGGTTTGGGATGTGTTCCCGTATCCTTGTTGAGAGTGTTAGTGTCTTGTGTTGACTATTACTCTTGGTTTTGTACTTATATACTTATGTATTCCGTTTCGAAAATGGCTTTACAACTTATATCTTATCTATATATGTTATTTCACATGTATTGGTGGGTTACCAGCATTATTCGCTGACCGGGCGTCGTCCCATGTTTTATTGTGTTCTTTCAGGTGATGTCCAGACGAGTGCACGGTCTAGTGTTGGCTAGTTTAGCTTCTCCCTTTCGTTTTGTGGCCTGTGTGCCAGTTTAGATGTAGTACTTTGAGACTATGGGTTTAGATGTAAACATTGCAGATATTGCCGTAGCGTTCATCCTTTTGGTGAACGTGGCATAACACCCCATGTTTCGGATTATGTTTATCTAGTTATCTTTCAGTCTTCCGCTGTGTTTGTTCTTTAGCTCAGTTATCTGTATGTTTAAGGATTTTAAATAGCTTGTTTTTAGGGTGTGTTACAGTTGGTATCAGAGCCTAGGTTTGAGCCTAGGAAGGAGTTAAGTCTAGAATTTCTAAGTGGCTAAGTGTGATTTGAGACCTTTAAGCGACCTTAAGAATCTAAGTGTTAGGCTTAGGACTCTAGGTTGCGCGGTGAGCTGAGTGTTGCTTTCTGTTGATTGCTTGTTTGCTATCTTGTGGTAATCGTGTTGTTGTTGTAGAAGTTTGCGATGTCTTCTCGCCGGCGTATCGTTCCGCTTGAAGAAGTGTGTGATGTCGCCAAGAGACCCAGGACAACAGGAGTTTGTGACACTCCTAGTGTGGTCGAGCAATGGATTCGAAGTGGTACGTCCACTCGAGTGAGTCCCAGCGCAGCTATCTTGCCATCGATCTGTAATCCAAGAAGAAATGGAAAGTTGGGAGTACAGAGTTTGCCAGAGGAGTTAACCCAGGAGAATACCCTCATCTTAAGTGAGGTTCGGACCGGAGACAGTGATGTGGTGATCGGGACGTTTTTGGTGCAAGCTGTTCCAGCAGTAGTTTTGTTCCATTCTGTGGCGTCCAACTCGTGCGTATCCCCGGAGCTTGTAAGGATGTTAGGCCTAACCGAAGGTGTTGGAGTGAAGTTAAACGTCAAGGTGGCATCGGGAGAAGTTAAGGCTTGTGATCGCCTCTTCAAAGACGTCAAGATAAGCATCGGCGGGGAAGAGTTCTCTAGCGATTTGATACAGTTTGGTCTGGACGGGGTCGATGTGGTCCTGGGTATGGAATGGCTAGGACGGTTCAGAGCCCAGATCTTGTGTGGTGAACAGAAGGTGGTCTTGAGAGGACCAAGTGGGAAGAGGGTGTCGTACCGAGGGTCAACAGAAGAACCAGGGATCAAGTTAGTGTCCATGTTGAAGATGAAAAAGTAAGTGGAGAAGGGCCATGAAATCTTCTTATGCTCAGTTGAGAATCTGGAGACCAAAAGAGATATAGCTCAGACCATACCTGTTGTATGTGAATTCCTCGATGTCTTTCCTGAAGAAATCCCGGGAATGCCTCCTCCAAGAGAAGTTGAATTCTCAGTGGACCTCGTACCTGGTACAGCGCCTATATCCAAGGCCCTGATAAGTATTATTTTTATATGTTATTCATGTGTGTTATAATTATTTATTCGTATTATTTAACTTAGTTTAGTATTTATTTATTTAATAAAATAATTTATCATTATTTTGCACTCATCTACGTAATAAGCTAATAAAGATTAATTTGTATTTATATTATATTTATAATTAGTGAAGTGGACCAATTTATATGTTAAATTTAGACTCACTAATTAGACAATATTCTAATGTTAAGGTGGAGCCCACATTCCTTTTAATTTCCAAAGCATGAAAACAACCAAATACATTTATGTTGTTTCCTTATCTTCTCACGTACAGGCGCAACGAGGAATCCGTCAAAACAAGCCTATTCGGATGCAAGATGAAGCGGCGTTCGCGGAAGACCTCTTCATTCGGCAAAAGAATAGGAAAATTGATGGTGCAAACTCATCTGAGAAATGTATAAATAGGAGTGTTTTCTTTGTTGAAGACGTTCATTCTTCCCCTCTCGATTATTCTGTAAAGCTGTTATCAATGTCCATTCATTGCTAATTTCTTTAGCTTGGTTTAGTGAATTGACGCCCCGGAATTGATTATGCTGTAAGATTATTTATTTATTTTTATTATATAATTTTTATGCATTTGGGTATTAAATATTCTTCTAAGTTATTTGAATAATTGTATCATTTAATTGCTAGGGAGGCCTACTAGTTATTTACTTGATATAATTATTTGCTATATTAGATAATGTTGTGCTACAAATTATTCTAATATTCAGTAGCAACTGGGTTAATTATTGACGGCTTAGTGATAATTGGACTCGGGTAGAATATTTTCCTAAATTAAATGCAACTGCTTGTCCTTGTGCCATTTAGTTTGTCGGTTTTCCTAGTTCCTATTGCTGCTATTAAATTAAATCTATAGCGCTTGTCTTAGGTTATTTAGTAGTTAGGGGTAATTAAACCGCGTGTGCTTTAGTTACCTACAACTAAGGGAAAACGGAAATGAAATAGTTTCACGACAAATATTCAATTGCATATTAATTACTTTACTAATCAATGATCAGTGTTAAATTCCGGTGGTGGATCTTTACTAACCAAGGTTTTCTATTATAAGTGCTTTCAATATATTAGTTTCATTGCTTTATTCGATTTATTTAATCTCTTGTTTATTTAAATTATCTTTTACTTAATCTTTATTTTCGTTATTTTCCAAACCCCCCATTATTTCCTTGAGCACAAAAGTTAAACTAGTTACTCGTCGTGGGATCGATCCTTACTCCCGCTACTACGTTTGTAAGGTTTTAATTTGGGAGCCTACGACAGCTCGCCAAATTTTGGTGCCGTTGCCGGGGAGATTTTATTGTTTATTTTGTGTTTATTTAATTATTTATTTGTTCATCTGTTTTTCTCGTTAATTTGTCCCATAAAAATTAAAAAAAAAATTCTTTTCTTTCGTTACTTTTACATAATTGCTGCAATATATTTTCTTTTTGTTTATGCCTATAACTTGATCTGCTAACAAAAAAGTCCTGCCATACAATCCAGAAATTGAAAGAACTGTACGCAGGTGGAGGAAACAAGCTTTGAGCAAATTGGAGTTTAGTGATCTGGCTACCGATTCCACCAATTCTAATTTAGAAGAGGAACCCATGGCTCAGAATCGGACTTTAAAAGAGCTTGGAGCACCAAATTTAGATCACCAACCTTTATGCATCACTTTCCCTGCTCTGAATGCTAATGTCCAATTTGAATTAAAATCTTGATTAATTCATCTTTTGCCTTCTTTTCATGGACTTGCAGGTGAAGACCCTCACAAGCACTTGAAGGAATTCCATGTGGTGTGTTCAAGTTTGAAACCCACAGGGGTTACTGAAGAACAAATCAAGTTGAGAGCCTTCCCATTTTCTTTGAAAGATTCAGCGAAGGATTGGCTATATTATTTACCTTTCTGAAGCATCACCACATGGAATAACTTAAAGACACTATTCCTTGAAAAATATTTCCCAGCTTCAAGGGCGGCCAACATTAGAAAGGAAATCTGTTGTATAAGGCAAAACAATGGAGAGTCATTATATAAATATTGGGAGCGTTTCAAAATGCTTTGTGCAAGCTGCCCACACCATCAAATTAGTGAGCGATTACTCATTCAGTACTTTTATGAAGGGCTTTTTCCAATGGATAGAGGCATGATTGATGCCGCAAGCGGTGGTGCTTTAGTTGACAAGACACCAGATGCTGCAAGAACTCTAATTACAAACATGGCAGCAAACTCTCAACAGTTTGGTAATAGAATTGTCCAACCGTCTAACCATGTGAATGAGGTAAATATTTCTGCTCTCGAACAACAAATTTCTGGTTTAACTACTCTTGTCTGTCAATTAGCAGTAGGCAATATGCAGACTGTAAAAGCATGTGGAATTTGCTCGGTAGTTGGGCATCAAACTGATGCCTGCCCAACTCTTCAAGAAGAACCTATTGAACAAGTTAACATGGCTGGAGGTTTTCCTGGACAACCTCAAGGTAAGTATGATCCGTTTTCTAATAAATATAATCCTGGATGGAGGGATCACCCGAACCTTACCTATGGGAACTCACAAGGGAACCAGTTTGTTCAGAATCGTTCCAACTTTCAACAGTATAGACAACAATTTCCTTCCAGCCAACAACCAGCCCAAAGCTCTAACTCAGGTATGAATCTCGAAGATATTGTTAAATCTCTTGCTACTAACACTTTGCAGTTTCAACAAGAAACACAACTATTCCAACAAGAAACAAGAGATAGTATTCAAGAAACAAATGCTAGTATTCAAAACTTAGAAAGACAAATGGGCCAACTAGCAACTACAGTAAGTCGGTTGGAAGCACAGAGTTCTGGCAAATTACCCTCTCAAACGGTTGTTAATCTTAAAGAGAATGTAAGTGCAATTAATGTTGAAAGTATGTCGCTGGAAAAGAATGTTGATTTGAATAAGGAAATAAGTGCAGGAATCATTGCCAACAATAAAGAGAAGTCTCAAGGTAAGCTTTCATCTTTTTCTGATTATGAACCAGTACCCCCATTTCCTCAAGCTCTTTTAGAACCAATAAGGGGAAACTCAAATAATGATCTGTATGAGACCTTTCGTGAATGTGATGCTAATAAACCACTTTTAGATTCTATGGAAAAAGTACCTCGCTATGCAAATTTTCTAAAAGAGGTACGCACTATGAAAAAGAAACGAAATAATGAAAGAATTGAGGAAGTGAAAGTGCAAGAGAATGTCTCTATGGCTAGTCAATGCAATCTTCCTGAAAAGTGCAAAGACCCAGGTATGTTTACTATTCCATGCATGATAAGTGGGGTGAAATTTGAAAATGCTATGTTAGATTTAGGAGCTTCTATTAATGTCATGCCATATTCTGTTTATGCTTCTTTAAATCTTGGACCCCTGAATAAATCTAGTATAATAATTCAATTGGCTGATGGATCTACTACATATCCTAGGGGTGTGATTGAGGATTTGATTGTTGAAGTTGATAACTTGGTTTTTCGTGCTGATTTTTATGTGCTTGATATGAAAAATAATAATCATATTTTGTTAGGAAGGCCATTCTTAAAAACTGCAAAAACAAAAATTGATATTCATAGTGGTATGCTTACTATGGAGTCTAATGGTAAACTTGTGACTTTTAATATTTATGATAACATGAAATCTCCTAGTGATGATAATTTTGCAATTTTTGTTGATTCTTTGAACTTTGTTACATTTGATGAATTTGCTTCGAATGGAAAAGAAAGAAATAATAAATCATCTTTGAGTACTAATCTGCATGAAGGGACTATTTCTTTGAATACTCATAACCATCGAAGGTACTCAAAAAGACGATGGAAATTTAAAGAAATATCATAAGTCGAGCCAACGACGATAAACAAAGGCGCTGCTTAGGAGGCAACCTAAGGTGTGTTTGTTCCATTTTTTCTCTTATTCCATATTCTCATTCAATAACCCTTTTTCTGTGCTTTTTTATTCAACATTGAGGACACTGTTGATAATAAGTGTGGGGGAGGGAATTTAGTTTTATTATTTGTTTGCTTATGTCAAAATTTTCAGAAATATTTTACTAGTATTTTTATGCAAAATAAGTATTATTTTGAAAAAAAAAAAATCCTTTCCTGAAATTCATAATGTGATTGAATAAATAGTTTGGCAAATTGTGATTAGTTTGTTAGCATTTCTTGTTTGATATGTAGTGGCTATATTAAGTAAGCAATAAACCTGTGAGATTTTGAGCCATTGACTGACACTTCGGTCTTATTTTCTTTCTATTGTGCGATTTCTTCCATAATTTTGTTTCTCTAGAACTTGCCTTGATTCTCTTTTAAAGCTAATTAGACCATGCATGATTAAGGCCATTATTTGATTTTGAGCCTCACTAGCCAAATAACCGGTTTGTCCCATGATTTATTTCCCTTCGTTAACCCACTTTGAGCTTTATGGCCATTCTTTTCTTTATCCTGAACCACATTACAAGCCTTTTATATCTAAAAATAATGCCTTCACCCAGCTGAATAACTAGTGGAGCAAATTTTGAATTATTCGTGTAATCTACGTGAGGTTGTGAGGAAGAAGTGTGGGGGTCTTTCTTGTGTTAATATGATGGAGAATGAGGTGGATTGTATCTTCATTGCCGATTTGTCACTGGTCTTCTATGAAAAAGAAAACGAAGACAATTCATGATTCCAAAAAAATATGGAAATTGAAAAATTGAAAAAATGAAAAAATGGAAAAATGGAGAATATATGCTGAAAATTTATGAGAAAATGAGAAAGAATCAGCAATTGATTTT